TCAACTAAAAACAGTACTGGTTATTTGGTCAGTGAATGCCAAATTTTTCCTTGTAAGGAAACGTCTAATATTACTATTAGAGATCCTGTGAACAGATACTACACTTTGATCTCACCCTGATGGTCAGAGATTAAAGAAATGCGTAACTGAAGTAGCACTGGCTTCTCGATCAGTATATGCCAAATGTTTTCTTATAAGGAAACTCTTAACATTACCATTAGAGAATGCTGAGAACTGATACTACACTTTGATCCCAGCCCGATGGCCAGGGAGTAAAGAAAAGCGTAACTCAAGTAGTAATGGCTGCTCGATCAATGAATGCCTGATGTTTCCCTATAAGGAAACTCTTACAGATGCCGAGAACAGATAATACACTGTAATCTCAGGGTCAGGAAGTAAAGAAAAGCGTAACTCAAGTAGCACTGGCTGCTCGATCAGTGAATGCCAAATGTTTTCTTATAAGGAAATGTCTAATATTAAAAATACCATTGAGAATTTTCTTTTTATGTCAAGGTACTTCTTCATTCGCAATCCTATTTGACATACCTTGGCTGGTATAGACTCTTATATAAATTAATTACATTGATTCATGTTCTAGTGATCATGAAATTGACTAAAGACTTATATATTGTATCTATAAGTGCCTGTGACCATGAAATAGGTAAATATATCGTGTTATCAAACACATGCACACATACACATCATGATTTATGTCATGAGAATTAATGTCATTAATTATGATATGTGCAGGGGTGTATAATGAGAAAGTTTTACGTACGGCCGCCTTTGATTTAAGAGATATTAAGTTGATTTCATTGGAGAAATTAGAGAAATATCGAGTTTAAATTTACCTACCAGCGCCGGATATGTTGGATTACTAATTGGATAAAGTACAAAGAAAGAATAATAATTCTGTCAACTAATAAATTTTGGGCTTCCATAGATCACAGAGCAAGTTGTGATCGCCCAGCAATCATAGGTGACAATCTATATTATGACACATAATTCCTCCCTAATGACCTTCCTACTTTCATGCAGGACCGTGATGGTTGGCGTGATATGAATGCCCGATCTAACATGACCGGATATATATATAATCATACTTTGTCATATATATATATAAATATGATCACAGAGTTGCAGTGGGCACAAGAAATTAGAGAAATATCGAGTTTAAGTTTGCCTACCAGCGCCAGATATGATAAATTCAGTCAGTTATGTGCCATGAGTGATCTTTCGATATATGACTATTTTTCCTGCAGTAGGTTGCCATTTCTTTCTGCGGTTGACCAGTTGCCATCCAAGGCTATAGAACCCGGTCTGTCCTGCTATTTACCCATAGCTGGGAGTGGAGGAGAAGAAGAGGATTCATACCTTTTCCATGGGTCTTAGCACGTCACTCAGTTATGCGCCATGTGTGATACATGCTTAGGCGATCATGTATCGAAAGATACATGACTGACGAGGCAGATTTTTTTCCCGCAGTAGGTTGCCATTTCTTTCTGCGGTAGACCAGTTTTAATCCAAGGCTATAGAACCCGGTCTGTCCTGCTATTTACCCATAGCTAAGAAGAAGATTCATACCTTTTGACTGGAATTCGAACTCGGCTCTCCGATTTCTCAATCCAAGCCACTATCCATTACTCCACCGTGCCTCCTGCAAAATCACCCTGCAGATTTAAGTCATTAAATTTCAGTCGGTCAGTTATGTGCCGTGCGTGATACACGCTTAGGCGATCATGTATCTTTCGATACATGACCGACGAGACATATTTTTCCGCAGTAGGTTGCCATTCTTTCTGCGGTAGAAAAGTTACCATTCAAGGCTATAGAACCCTGTCTGTTCTGATATTTACCCATAGCTGAGGAGAGAAGAATAGGATTCATACCTTTCCTAAGGATATTAGCACGTAAGTGAATGTAATGCAATTGACTAGAATTCGAACTCGGCTCTTCGATTCCTCAATCTGAGTCGCTATTCATTACCCCACTGTGCCTCCCAAAGTCAGTTATATGCCGTGTGTGATATAAGCCTAGGCGATCATGTATCTTTCGATATATGACTGACGAGGCAGATTTTTTCCCGCAGTAGGTTGCCATTTCTTTCTGGTAGACTAGTTGCCATCCAAGGCTATAGAACCCGGTCTGTCCTGTTATTTACCCATAGCTGGGGGAGAAGAAGATTCATACCTTTCCCAAGGGTATTAGCACGTAAGTGAATGTAATGGATTCGACTGGAATTCGAACTCGGCTCTCCGATTCCTCAATCCAAGCCGCTATCCATTACTCCACCGTGCCTTCTATGATGAATTAATAACTGGAAAAAATACAAAGCAAGAAGAAAAATTCTGTCAAATAACAAATTTGGGACTTGATCACAGACTTTCAGTGGGTGCAAGGAATTAGAGAAATACCAAAACCTAGCAAGAGAACAGCGAAAAATGTTCGTGTCCACAATCATTGGAGAACTGGAACCTGTCGTCATGACGATTTTAAATTTTAATGTTTTTTTTGGGGTTTTTTGTGGGGGGGTATATAATTGTTGTGACCAAGTAAACGGTTAAAGAAATAACAAAACAAGTGTTACAGATATAACATATATTAAACAGTAAGTACAACAGAAGAGTATTACATGACTAGTGAGTGTGTGTCGGTTGACCCAGCGTTCAATCTATTCGACTGTTGATATTTACCAGCCTCCCCATGTGGTCAGATGTGGCACAAGGCCGAGTTTACTGTGGGGCAATCCGAGGCCGTACACTCCTCTAAAAATTCACCATAGACCCCGTATAAAACGAGGTCGGGTAGCCGTTTCCCTAGACGGATTTGCCCTTCGAGATAGCCCCGGAGGCAGAGAGTCTGACCAGCACAGCTGGAACAGATCTACTCGACTGTTGATATTTAGTAGCCCCTCGGGTAGATGTGGCACAAGGCCGAGTTTAACGTGGGCTCCGCCGAAAAATCCACGTAGAACCCGCTTAAACGGGTTCGGGTCTGTCTACCACCCAGGACGAGACTCTGCCCTTCGGCACAGCCGTGTCCTAGGTCCTCTCTGTCCAAGGCAGAGAGTTCGACAGTAGCTGTGAACTGTCACAGCCCAGTAGAATAATCTATTCGACTGTTAATACTTAACAGCCCCCACGAGTGTGTATGTGGCATAAGGCCGGTTTATTGTGGATATTCCGAGCCCGTAGGCTTGGCCAAAAATATTCCCTTTGAACCCGCCTAGACGGGTTCAGGGACTGTCCACCTCCCCGGACGAAACTTTGCCCTGTGGCAAAGCCTCGTCCGAGTTCCTCTCTCCCAAGACAGTTCCTCTCGTTCGACAGTTGAACAATCTATGCGACTGTTATATTTAACAGCCCCGCCACAAGGGTGTACGTAGCACAAGGCAAGTTTATTGTGGGTATTCCGAGCCCGTAGGCTCGGCCAAAAATATCCCCTTTGATATGGTACTGTCTATCTTCCCGGACGAAACTTTGCCCTGCCGCATCCGAGTTCCTCTCTGCCGAGACAGAGAGTTGGACAGTTGAACAATCTGTGCGACTGTTATATTTAACAGTCCCCCCCCCACAAGGAATGTATCTGGCAGTAGGCCGAGTTTAACGTGGGTCTCTCCGAGCCCGTAGGCTCGGCCAAAAATATTCCCTTTGAACCCGCCTAGACGGTTTCAGGGCCTGTCAACCTCTCCGGACGAAACTTTGTCCTGCGGCAAAACTTCGTCTGAGTTCCTCTCTACAGAGGCAGTTTGACAGTTGAACAATCTATGCGACTGTTCCCCCAAGGCTTTCTCTCCTACTAATCTTATAGTAGGCGGAAGAGTCCAACATAAACTTTTTAGAGGGAGGACACCGCAACAATACTCTAGCCGATTCTATTTAGATACTTTTCCTTTTTGCTTCCATCACTTAGGTTATTTGATGTCCCACACTTCAACAATAGGAGATCTGCTAGGAATGGCTAAATGTTGTAAGTGCTAGGGCGTAAATTTTCTGTAGGGGATCAATTCACTCTCTAAACATTTTTGTCTTAGTGAATTATTTTCTTTTTTGATCAGAGTAGCATTGTTCATGTCAAAATTATTGTGAGTCTCGTTACGGTGAGAAACTAACGTATTTAATGTATCGCTTTACAAAATGTCCATGTAAATTAAATCGGCTAGATTTACACACACACATACACACACACGCGAAATTTAAATTAAAATTCCCAGCATCCTCGTTCGTGCGCATGTGAAGTCGCACCAACCTAACAAATTTAGTCTGATGAAGTCCCAAAAAATGAAACGCGTCACACAAAAACCTTTTCCCACTATGTCATACAGTTTTACCCAACATTGTCCTCGGTTTATAAAATGTATATATCGTTATCTCATATATATATATATATATATATATACTTAATATAAGTAAAAGTTGGTCACTTAGCTGACTGATGTTGCATGTTCTTTCCGTATTGTTTGTGTATATACATTGCTGCAAGGTTTTTCTTATATATATATATATATATATATATATATATATATATATATATATATATATATATGAAACCTATATATATATATATATATATATATTTTAGGTGAAACCTAGGTAGGTTTGTCTGGCTCACTAGGTGTATCTATATATATATATATATATATATATATATATATATATATATATATTAGAAACAGGACATTTTATTGGCTTGTATTATCAATAAATACTAAATATTTCCACAAATAGAACAGGTGTTCTCAGATCATTAATTGTTCTGAGAATGATATATTTAATCAGTTCAGAATCACTTGAAAACTATCTGTCATTATATCAAGATGAATCAATCTCTCTCTCTTTTTCTCTCTCTCTCTCTCTCTCTCTATATATATATATATATATATATATATATATATATATACTAAATCAGGACATAGTACCTAGTTCTTTAAATCTCTTCATATCTACCAACTTACCTAATTCAAATATATTCATCTAAATATGTTAAGGTCTATCACAAACATGATTAGTCTGTCGAAATCAATTCAAATATCTATCTATCTATCTATGTTCCTCTCTCTCTCTCTCTCTCTATATATATATATATATATATATATATATATATATATATATATATATATCAGTATAGACTAACTGTTATGTAATTTAAAATTTAGTAAAAATATCTGGTCACCGTAATGTTGGTGCAGTCAAATATTATACGGGGATTAGTTTATTTATTATTTTAACGGGATCTATCTATCTATCTATCTATCTATCTATCTATCTATCTATCTCTCTCTATCTATCTATCTATCTATCTATCTATCTATCTATCTATCTATCTCTCTCTCTCTCTCTATCTATCTATCTCTATATATATATGTGTGCGTATGTGTGCGTGTGTAAAAATTATTTTTTTGTGTTGTGTATATTAATTTTTATATTAAGCATTAAGAGAGATTACTGGTTTACACACACACACACACACACACACACTTATCTATATAAATACATTTGTACATTTGTATGGTGTGTGTTACGCTTGGTAACACAGATACTGAGAGGGAATCAGAAAGAGAGAAGAACATAGAGATGGAAAGGTAGAGGGACAAGAATAGAGTGCGACACTGACAGGAATTAGAGGGGATATCATTTTACATAAAGGTAGTTTATAGTTTGGGGTCAAATCATGTTTCGTAACCTTATGAACTGCTGAGGACATTTGAGTATTTTTAAGAGAGACTATATCACTTTTCTTATATTAATCTGGGAATGGTCAGGGGGTGAAGAGTACAGAGTGCAGCATTATATATATATATATATATATATATATCGCCATATACCACAAAACGGCATGGCGTGGACGCAGCAATGTTTTCTGACCAGCTGGTGGTCGGAAACGACACATGAGAATGCATGGTGACTAACAAGTAGCACTTGTTGCTGGAAGCAGTCACGTATGTTAGATCTCTCAAAGAGTGTATGTTCTTTGCCGTTTGTAAAGTCACACTAGTGCTTCTCACATGTCGAATCGATTCTGAAATGCTTTAAGCTATAGTTATACTCGAGAAGAAGGAAATTGTCATCATACACACACACACACACACACACATATATATATATATATATATATATAGTATTTAGGCAGCAATCCAACTTTTATAGAAGTTTCATTAAAAGCGACTGACAAGGTACTGCGGTTAAGTTTTTATTTCAGTTTTTTTGTGTGAGAACGTTCTTCTTTTCTGGACATTAATTATGTAGAAATTGTCCAAATGTTTGGTATGTACCAGCGCTTTCGGCTCTTCTTTTAACCATTATCAAGGATAATTTTTCTTTTACTTTTAACTGAATCGTTTTATGTATGTATCTATAGTTATAGGAATTATTTATTTTCCGAACACTGTCACCACATTGTGGTCGTGTCCATAGTTGATGTTAGTGAATGCTGGCTTTATCTTTTTTTTTTTTTTTTTATTAATAATGCTTCCATTATTTTTAGCCATTTTTACATGTTGAAGAGGCAATTATATTCGTATTATCAATGAGTATTTTGTGCATAGAGTTTTGTAGGTTTCCATGTTTATTTAAATGAGTCCTAATTGAGCTATGGTCAGAGATATGGATTTGGATTGAATTTGAATGAAATTAAGTTTTTCATGAAATTTACACACACACACACACACACACATATATATATATATAATAGTTGGCCATTCGCATTCGTGGATACCCGTTTACTATGACGGCCAGCCAATCCCTAATTCAGACGCTCGCTCAGACATTTGTGTTTGAGCCCACCTGGGGTTTATACTGACCCGATAGTTACAGTTTCTGGGAGAGAGCGTGTTATTTAGCGTGATCAACAATCTGAACAAGGCCAGCACACTCGGCAAAGCTATCGACGGCTCCCCAAATGTTCCGTCTACGCAATTTTCACAAGGCTTGGGTCAGCACGTGGTATGGTTTTCAGGCACTTTCCAAAGGTGCCGGACGCTGAGATCGCCCTCCTCCAAACCTATACGAAGTCTCCTTCTTGACAAATCAAACATCGTGAGATTCGAACCAGGGTCTCATGGTCACTAACCTGTCGGCCATGCGCGCCCCCCCCGCACCCATATCTATCTATCTATCTATCTATATATATATATATATATATATATATATATATATATATATATATATTGTGTATTTAATTGATGTATTGATGTGAGTTTGTGACTTTGGGTTTCACGCTTTTGCGATCGTCAGACAAACTGATTAATTTTAATTTATATATATATATATATATATATATATACTACTGATCCAAAGTTTGTGACTACTCTGAATTGTTTCTCTAAGTTCGTAAAAAAAAGGCTAATGTTCCTATTTCGATAAATAAATTCACCTATTGTCAAAAAAAATTTTCTACAAGAATTATAAATTTATTTGCATAAGCTTTAAAAATTTTGTTAAAACTTGATACCTTTTCTGAACTGTAGATCAGAAATTTACAAATATTTCAATTCCACTACTTGAATTACTTCAATTCCATCTAGATTAATGTGCGATTGAAATTAATTTTCGGCAACCGTTAAAATGCCAAGAGCTAAACAGATTGGTATTGAAAAAAAAGCGGAAGTGGAAAATCTTTCTGTAGAACGGTATTCCGAACGTCAGACTGCGAGAACATTACAGATATAAAAAAAAATGGGCTTCATTATTGTCTCCAGTGACATGCTGAAACATGCGCAAATGTTAGCAGAAAAAAGATCTGCGTAGCCCAGAGTAACATCTATTTCGGAGAATAGACACTTGATCGTGCCTAGCAAAAGGAGCAGAAGTAAAACAGCTCCCCAAATAACTGCTGACTTTAATTCTACACGTCAGCATCTGTTATGATTGTTAAAGAGAAGATTCTTTCTGCTGGGCTTAAAGGATTTGTTTCAGTTAAGAAACCTCTATTAAAAAAGGAAAATAAGTTGAAAAAACTAAAATGGGAACAACAGCACAAGGATTAGTCTTTAGAAGATTGGAAAGAGATACTATGGACTGGTCAGTCCAAATTTGAGTTTTTTGGATGTAAACGAAGAATGTTTGTCATACGAACGAATGAGTGAAAATTGCATTGTGTCATGCTTTGGGATAGTGCTGTAATGGTTTGGGAATGTTTTAGAGTTGGAGACTGTTCAAATGAAAGGCATTATGCGAAAGGAAGAATATTATTCAATACTTCAGAGGCATGGAATTCCTTCTGGCTGCCGCATTGTTGGACAAAATTTTGTTTTGCAACAAGATAATGACCCAAAACTCAGCTAAAAACTTTGTACAAATTATCTAAAATCAAAGAAAGATAAGGGAATTTTGTAAATCATGACTTGGCCCCTCATCTTTTACCAGATCTTTTACCAATTAAACTAGTCAGGGATAAATTGATTATAAAGTTATAAGCGAACTGTCTAAGAATAAGCAAAAGTTGTTTACATATTTATACAATTCTTGGGTGATGCAATGAATATGCATACACCTGGGTTCCCCCTCACAGTAATATGATTGACTGGTGTCAGCCATAAATACAGACTGATGTGGAGGTACAGGACGACGCCTATTGGCTACGCCTATAGTCTTCGCCTATTGCCTACGCCTATTGCCTACCACTATGACGTGGACCAGTCCATTACGGTTACCTGCTAGATTGTCCTACTCTGTTACAGTAGTCCAAAACCACTTTGCTACTTCGAACAAATATATCCCTTTCCGGGACATATCATTGGGAATCACTTCCACCAACAGACTTTTATAGGTTACTAGAAAGAATACCAAGAATTTGCTTTGCAGTAATTAATGCTCGAAGCGGATTCTTGGATGAAAAGAAAATATACATTTGCTTTAATTGAAATTATAATTATTTTATATTTATTGCATGCAAAGATAGAAAAAATAAATTTATTCTTTATAGACATGGAACTTCATTTTTTTTAAAGTTAAGAGGAAAAAATCAATGGGTCAAAACTTTTGGTTGGTAGTATCTATCTATCTATCTATCTATCTATCTCCCAGTCTCTTTACGTGTATCCCAGTCTGTTCAAATCATATCTATCTATCTATCTATCTATCTATCTATCTATCTATCTATCTATCTATCTATCTATCTCTTTTTGTATCTCAGTCTCTTTACGTGTATCACAGTCTGTTCAAACCATATCTATCTATCTATCTATCTATCTATCTATCTATCTATCTATCTCTTTTTGTATCTCAGTCTCTTTACGTGTATCCCAGTCTTTTCAAATCATATCTATCTATCTATCTATCTATCTATCTATCTATCTATCTATCTATCTATCTCAGGAAAACAAGTTTTAAAAGTCCAGTAACTGTTATCGCTCTTTCCATGATTAATGGGAGTTTCCTTCCTATCCTTTTATTTGAAGTACTGTTACATGTTAGCATCTTGATTATGTCATTTTCTTTTCGAGTTATATGTGCTAGCCATTTTAGTTGTTGCGTAGTCTCCAAGTGATGTGGTTTCTGTTATTTGATACAATTATTTGTTTGTGATTCTGTAGCACCAGTCCGCATTGTTCAAAGAAGGATTGTCTATGCCAAGACCATCTGGCTATACTTGATCAAAGCCTTTTTTTCACTATTGATCTGAGAAAACGATTGTATAAAACTGACAGTTTAGATATTTCTGGACGAGATTGGGACCATGTATGATACCCATATGAAAGTTTCGATCTGACGAGGCTATTTAAAAATGTGGCTGGAGTTGGTGCACAGACCGAAATGTACAATATGGTAAGTGAACGCTTCTGCAAAGAGAACGACATACGCAAAATCTTTCACACGTCTATTAAACTCATCATTTATTACGAAAGTTCAAAAGACTCCAACAGGATCACCGTCAATGGCGAAATAAAACAAAATATCTAAACATTTGAAAAAACTAATGTTGTTTTTTTTTTGCTTGCCCACTTGGAGAATGTATCTGTAAAAATAATAATTCAATGAACATATACATTGGTTACACAATAACCACACGATCGTGTCGTTTAATGTACCATTTATATGTTATAGCAATATTAAATTATATATCAATAATCAAGACAATGAAAAAACATATCAAGAAATCCCCAATTATTGTTATGGTCCGGTTCCTTGTACCACAGTGATAGTCCAAGGCAGAACCAATAAAGAAGAACTCGACACAGGTATGGAAGAATACAGATATATTACAAACAGGAATATATACAGAGAAGTAGAAAGTGTTAGTACAAACATTCAGGTTTAGTAGTAATTGCTTGAACGTGACTCTGTTTTGGACTGCTTCTGACTCGACTGACTGACTGACAGACTCCTGACAGACCTCACTCCAGACTTCAGACTGAACAGTATTTAGTCACCATCCCCACGAGGTCATCATGTGGCACAAGGCCGGTTTAACGTGGGATCTCCGAGCCTGTGGGGTCGGCCAAAAATATGCCATTTGAACCCGTATAAACGGGTTCAGGGTCGGTTCACTTCCCCGAAAGAGACTCCACCTTTCGGCGTAGCCTCGTTTGGGTTCCTCCCCGCCCGAAGGCAGAGAGTTCAACCGATCAGACGGTCAGCCGGTCGTCCGACTTCGGACTGACGATATTCAGTCTCCCCCCACCCCCACTGGGGCAACATGTGACACAAGGTCGGTTATTTATTGTGGGTTCTCTGAGCTCGTGGGCTCGTCCCAAAAATATGCCCATTGAACTCGTATAAACGGGTTCAGGGCCGGTTTACCTCTCCGGACGAGACTCCGCCCCTCGGCGTAGCCTCGTTCGGGTTCTTCCCCGCCCGCCCAAAGGCAGAGAGTTCAACCGATCAGCCCGTCAGCCGGTCGTCCGACTTCGGACTGAACAGTATTTAGTCACCCCCGCCCCACGAGGGCATCATGTGGCACAAGGCCGGTTTAACGTGGGATCTCCGAACCCGTTGGCTCGGCCAAAAATATGCCCTTTGAACTCGTATAAACGGGATCAGGGTCAGTTTACCTCCCCGAACGAGACTCCACCCTTCGGCGTAGCCTCGTTCGGGTCCCCCCCCCCGCCCGAAAGCAGAGAGTTTAACCGATCAGCCGATCAGCCGGTCGCCCGACTTCGGGCTGAACTCCTATTCCTCTTGTATTTATTACGTATGGAATAGTGCATTATGGGTAAGGTCTCCTAACACTTATCAATAACACAAATATGCTATATCGCATAAACTATAAAAATTACTACAGCTATGAGAGGTATTCAGCATAAAATAAACAACCCACTATCATTAAAATGCTACCAAATATAGGTACAAAAATACTTAATACCAAATTTTAATGACATATATATATATATATATATATATATATATATATATATATATATATATAATTGTCCATCCCAAAAATGTTCAATATTTAAAAAGCAACTAAATGAATTGAGTTTCTTTTTTACAGGTTTTTTAGATAAGTGTAGCCATTTTGACATTTGTCGTCAGAATCACTGAAATAATCCTTTGACTTATTCAGCTGGAAAGAGAACAGGTTAAACTGTTTTGTGTCAGCCCCACTGTCTGCCTAAAAGAGCAATGGTGAGAGGAAAAAGATCATTTAGGCCTTCAGTAATGGTACCAAAATACATACTTTGGCTTCGATCTTCAAAGTCCATTCAAGAACCATCAAGAGAATAAGTTTTAAAAAAAGTGGGAATAGCAGAGAAGAAAACTGAATCAGAAGGTCACAACAGAAAGAGGGATCATCATTTCAATTTAGAGCTAAAGAGATCAATTAGAAAAGATCCAACTCAATTCATAAGCCTTTTGATATGCGAGAGAGAAGTTTCAGCCATGACAGTCCAAAAAGCAATGAAAAATAATTTGAAAATGAAATCGTATGTGAAACGTGTGAGGCAACTTGTTATTCCAGAACAGAAAGTTAGAAGATTAGAGAGGGTGATGATCATCTTGAATGTGTTTGAAAATGATCCTGGAATAATATATATACTTCAACTTTATTTCAATCCTTTATGAGCTTCCGATCCTTAGCTATGATTAATTCATGATGAACTTGTCATTTTCGGTTATTTCATCACGATTGTTCTGTTAAGCTTGGATAGTAATTATACATTCCTATTGCTCAAAGTTGAGCCTAACAGTGTTATAAAAACCTCGGAGAATTCCAGTAAGATATCTTTAATCATTTCTGAGATACATCGGTTCAAAGCTTAATCTAACAAATGGACAATTTTGCTTTTACACGATTTGGAGAATTTTGCTGTTACACCCGATATATATGTACAGGGTGTATCATAATAATTTGGTAAATTTGCTTTTTAAGCCCCGCGCTAAATATCTATTAAAATTTTCCCAAATCGTCATATTTCCGTGTAAATGTACATGCTGAACTCGAAATAAGTATGACATTTTGAGAAAACCTACCGTTTTGGAGTTATCGACAATAGAAGTTCGGACTCGTGTTCAGCCGTCAGCCATTACTGGCTTTGTTAAACTACATTCACTGCGGAACGTTTTGCGCGCGGAAACTTAATTAACGGCCTTTTTACTGCTCTCAACTGATCTTACTCGTCTAAATTACTGCGCACTTAAGTAACTGAGAGATTAAACAATTCATATTTTAATATGCACTCATACGAAATACACATAAGATTAACAAAGAATTTGTGTTAGTAGTTAACGAAAGTATTTGCCTCACTAAGATTTCTCGAATGCGCAGCCTGAAAGACGTGATGCGTACTGTTAATAAATAAAAATGGGGCGTCTGTTTCAAATACGAAGTGTCTACTGCGTTTGAATTAATAAAAATGCCGAGTAAAAAATTAATCCAGTAGTTCTTTAGAAATTGCTTTGTTTATACTTTGTATACGAAAATTTAGATATAGGCCCAGGAGAAAAATAATTTGAGTGAAGTGAAAATACTTTATCTTTTTTTAAAAAAAAAAAAAGTGGTGGCAGGAATAGAGGCCTGCTTGTTCTGACATCATTTGTGGTTAAGCAGGAAAACAAGCCGGATCAAATGGTGGTTTCTCATACAAATATGGATGCTGGTTCGATCCCTGCGAGAGTACACGTCTTATTTACTAGGATTTTTTGAATGCGCAGGCCGAGGGACGTAATAAACACTGTTTAATAAATAAAAACAGGGCGTCTATTTCAAATAAGAAGTGTCTACTATTATAACATTTAAAGAAATTTAAAATGTCAGATCAAAAATAAATCCAAAATTTTTAATCGATTTTACCCCAAGCAAGGCTGTAATGTTACTAAGGCACAAGGGGTTACTGGGTGTGGAGGTATTAGAAAGCAGAAACATTACTAAGGGGCGAGAACACAAGAAGAGTAATCAAGAGGACAGTAGATAGCGATTGACATTGCGTTTAAATTTTTGAAGATCAAAATTGGCTGGAAAGCATGGAACTGGAAGAGAGTTCCACAAGGAAGAAGTGCGAGAAAAGGAACTGTTAGCATAAAACTTACGGTTACATCTAGCCAACTCAATATTGAAAGACCTAGTCGCTCGTCTAGTACTGCGCTTAAAATTCAAATAGTCCAGGTACCCTGGCGAAAAGCTCATCCGAACAGCTGCCATGGAAGTATTTATAAAAAAAAAAAACTAAAAAAAACAGGGGAGGCAACCTTACAACGGTGGGAAAGGGACTAGAGCCGAGACGCCACATCAGCACCAATAATATTGCTGATTCTTCTTTGGATTTTATCAAGGATCTCTAGATATATGGGGCGAGCACCAGACCCTATGTGGCAGCCATATTTAAAGCATTGGCGAATGGTAGACTTATGTAGGATAGATATCAGGAGAGAAAAATTGTCTCAGAGTGAGCCACCTTTCTTAGTAGCTGATTTAGCGATGGATACAATATAGTCTTTCCGATCCATGTCAGCCGAAAACGTTAGCCAGAGAAGACGCAATGAGTCACTCTTCCGGAGGTCAGCATATAGCCATGCTGATGGAAGGCAGAGAGGGGTCTCTCAGATGATTAATAGAGAGCAGTTTAGTTTTGGACAAGCCATCCTTTGCTCCAGTTAACAAAAGAATGAGGGTTATTTGTGATATCAGCCGCCTATTTCACCATATCGGACCGATCAGACTTATTATCAAAACAGGAATAAACGGTTGTATCATCAACATATACATTTTTTTTTAAAAACCCACAATGCATGTGTCCGCTGTGTAACAGTTGTCGGCGCACGAAGCGAAATCTGCGAACCGGCTTCAAATTCTGGCTTTGTCTGTTGCGTTCCCTTTTTCATTATTGATCTTAAGAAAGACAAGTCTGTTTTTGCTTCCCTGGGTCTCAAACCTTGGCTGGCAACC